TTTAATTTTTGAATTAAAATAGGTGATATTATTGTCTGTTATTACTGTTGTGAACAAGGGCATATAAATCGATACTGTAAGAAATTGCATATTCATAATCGAAAGACAGACCGCTAATATTATTGTTGTTACTACTAACTCATCTTCTGAAAAAAAACTGTTACAATTTTAGATGACGAATATGCTAATTCTCTCAATATCAAAAATCTTTGAATAAATTTTTGTTTTACTGAATCAGAGAAAAAATATTTTATCTCCTTCTCGAATAGATGGGTGATTGATTCTGCTGCTACAAATCACATGACAAGTAATCATAATATCTTTTCTAGTTTTCAACCACACAAAACACCTTTTTCTATAACCATTGTTGATGAGTTGACTTATAATATTGTGGACTCCAATACCACAAAACCAATTTCATCTATTACCTTGTCATCTGTATTAAGTTTATCTAAATTTTTCTTCAATCTAATTTCTGTAAGTAAGTTTACTAAATATCATAATTGTTGTATTACATTCTTTCTTAATCATTATGTTTTTCAAGAACTTATGACGAAGTAGATTATTGGTAAAGGACATACTTCAGATGGTCTTTATATTCTTGATACCTAAGTACCTCGATCGGTTGCTTGTTCTAATGTTATTTCTCTATTTGAATCACATTACCAATTAGGACATCTTTCTCTGCCTGTGTTGAATAAGTTATGTTCTCAATTTCCTAATGTACCTTCACTGGATTGCGAGTCATGTCGATTTACGAAACGTCACCGTAATCCGTTAGTTTCAAGAGTTAATAGATGAGTTGAGTCTGCTTTTCAGTTAATTCATTCTGATGTTTGGGACCCCTATCATGTTCCGTTCAAAACAAGGTTTGAGTATTTCGGTACTTTCGTAAATAATTTTTCTCAAATGATTTTGATATATTTTATGAAGAATTGTTCTCAATTATTTTCTCACTTTTGTACTTTTTATGCTAAAATCAAGACCCAATTTAATATTTTTGTACATGTATTGAGAAGTGATAATGTCAATAAATATACGTTAGACCCATTTCAAAACTATATGACTCAATACAGAATTCTTCACCAATCTTTGCATGTTGATACACCCTCTCAAAATGGAATTGATGAGAGTAATAACACACATTTTCTTGAGACAGCTCAAACTCTCTTGTTCCAAACATAAGTCCCTAAACAATTTTAGGTTGATATTATTTTCATAACTTTTTGCTTGATTAATTGTCTGTCATCTACAGTATTCGATGGAGATGTTCTCTACAGTCTTCTTTTTCCAAATAAATTTTTATTTCCGGTACAAATTAAGATATTTGCTAGCACTTGTTATGTTCGAGATGTGCAAACTATGTGACAAAATTGGACCCAAAAGTCTTGAAGTGTATCCGTTTAGATATTCTCGCCTTCAAAAAAGAAAATGATGCTATTATCCAGTTCTCAATAAATATTTGATAGCAATTAATGCAATCTTTTTAGAAAATACACCGTTCTTCTCCTCATTGTCCAATTTTATAAGTCAGGGGACGAACAATGAGTGACTCATCTATAAGTTCACACCAAGTGTCTTTACTGAACAAATAAATAATAGTATTTCTCCAAATAATGTGTCTCCAAATCTATTTGAGTAAGCTAACGATACTGTTGGTGTACCTCCAACCCAACTACTGCTACCAATTGTTCATATTTATTTCAGTAGACAACAGTTCTCTCGTCATCTGATTCAATCTCACAGGACCTTGATCTTCCCATTGGTTTTCACAATAGTAAATGTCAGTGCACCATTCCTAACTCAACTTATCCTATTGAAGAATTTTATTTCATATGATCATTTGTTTCTCTCGTCTAATCCTTTCATTATTTCTATATATTCAATTTCCATATTCAAGACAATTAAAAAAGTTTTGAATCATCCTGGTTGGAATAATGCAATATTTGAGGAGACAAATGTTCTCAATAAAAATCATATTTGTGATTTTGTAGATTTATGCCAAAAGAAAAAGGGTCGTGGGGTACAAATGGGTATTCTCAGCCAAAGTAAAACCCAAATGGCTCTGTGCCAAGACTTAAAACCAGACTTGTAACAAAAAGTTATGCTCAGACTTATGGGGTGGATTATTCTTATACCTTCTATCCGGTGACCCTCTTGATGATCCGAAAAGTACAAACAATTAGTTGTTAGATTAAATTATCTCACAGTGACTCTTCCAGATATTGTATATCCTATCAGTGTTGTTACCCAATTTATATCTACACCTACAGTCAAATATTGGGAGGCTTTGGAACAGAAACTTGTAGTAAAAGGCTATACTCAAACTTATTGGGTAAATTATTCTGATACCTTCTTTTTGGTGACCCTTTTGATGATCCGAACATGTACAGTCAATTAGTTGGGAGACTGAATTACCTCACAGTGACTCGTCCAGATATTACATATCTTATCAGTGTTGTTAGCTAGTTTATGTTTACACCTACCATCAAACATCCAGAGTCTTTACAACAAATTTTGTGCTACTTAAAAGGTGCTCCAGAACTTGCCATTTTGTTTAACAATGATTGGCATACACGCATTGAATGTTTTACAGATGCTGATTGAACTAGATATAAAATTGATAAAAGGTCCACTACAGACTATTATATTTTTGTTGGTAGGAATATGGTATTATAAAAAAGTAAAAAGCAGACTGTTGTTGGTGTAAAGTCTTATGGATACATCTCTTACAACATATCTTAACTAAAGTGTGTTTGAATATCATATTACCTACAAAACTCTGGTAATATATTCAAGTTGTGCTTCATATTGTTTCAAATCCGGTGTATGATGAAAGAACTAAACATATCGAAATTGATTGTCATTTCATCCGTGAGAAGATTTAGAAAACTTGATCTCTACTGATTATGTAAATATAAGAAAACAACTAGGTAATATATTCATAGAGGCTTTAAATAGTTACTGAACTGAATATTTTCGTAAGAAATTGGGCATGACTAATATTTACGCTTCAGTTTAAGGGGGAGTGTTAAGATATTACAATATATATTACACAAAATTCCTATGTAATCACTAGTTGATTTCTTAGTATTACTATGGTGATTTATGTTACCATATATAGATCCCTCTTTTGTATATATATATATATCCCTAACTCATTGAAATAAAATACAATAAATATATTTCATATTTTTTTTATTATTTTATAGTACTTAATTATAATAAAAAAAGACTTGTCAATCCTATCAATTTTAAGCGGTGACTCATCCTCTTCTTCACAATTCCACATACTTTAAATCTTTTCCCATCACACACTTTTGCAAAAAGACCACAAAATAAGAAGAGTAAATAAGAATACCTCTTTTTGAACTACAAAAAACAAATCTAAGAGAGGATAAGCTGGCCTAGGCTGACCATTTTGGTCAAACTCAATTCAAAAAGTTAAAACAGACACAGTACAAGAAGGCTTGCTCATGGTTGTACGCACATGGGTTCCACGCATCAGTTTCGAGTCACCTGATGGCAGCGGCTGTTTGGCAATTGACTCAACTGGAGGTGTTGGTCAGAAATTGGAGGCTGGTGTAGGATGTGATGGTGTAGAAGTCCGGATTTGCGAGAGGTAGCAGTTGTGGGAGCTTGCACTAGCGAGTATGGCAGTTTCCAATGGAGTTTTGTGGAAGGGCTTCATGGGTCAACAAATCGCGACCTTCTAGAGCTGGTGATCGTGGCAATGTCCACCACCTTCAGGCAATGACTAGTTAATAGTACTGATAGCTGTTTTAGGATTTATTTGAATTTTTTGCTATATAGTTTAGGGATTGTTTATGTGCAAATTTAGAGATTTGAGTGTATGATTCTTATAGTTCATATACGAAATTGATGTAGGATAAATAAAGTTGATTTGTCCACTTAAGGATTTGGGAATTAAAAACCTACACACCACGCGTAGCGTTCATTAGTCATCATATCTAAGAAGACATAAAGATAATGCGTATGAGTTGATTGCATCATATATCCAGAAAACTAACAAACTCTTAAAATATTATTGAATAACTAATGTCCCAATAGATGAAGTCATAAAGATATTTATCATGATTTCTAAACAACTTTCCCTAAATAGAATTAAAGAAATAGTAAATTAGAAGAACTAGGATACTAATCTTAGTACAAATAGTAAATATAATAATAAGACTAAGATCCTAAGTTACTAAAATTATCATAATACTACTAAATAATATGATAATAGACTCCTAAATAATTTAATTGTTTTACATTTAATATATTATAATTTTTAATTTATTTACAAAATCTAATACTATCCTAATTTACACCGAAATCAAACTAGGGAAGAAGAGGCAACTTTCCTTAACATTCATAATCACTTATGTACATAAATGCTCTAGTACCCAAAGATCAAAGTGAAAACATTAACAATCTTCACAATGAAAACTGGATATATCGAATTTAAGAACTTACTCTGACGATTCTCTAAGAGAAGAATTGAAGACATTCGACGGTCAATCACTAATTTAAAAGTCTATTTTTAGCAATTAAGAAAGGCAAAACTAAATAAAAATAGGAAAGAATATAAATTTGAGTCACATTTTTAACTCGTGCAAAAGAATCCCCAGTCATTAGAGTGAAAACCTTAACAACCTTGTCAGTGGAAACTAGTCAAACGCCAATACTGGATTTAGTTCCCGAGGAAAAACGTGATGAATCCATTGCAACTCTTGATCCTTTTAACCTAGATTCCAATACTAATGACCTTGATGTTCCCACCTGATACCTTACTTTTGCTTCTACATATATTTTTAACTTAAATGTAATCCCTTGGTTGTTGCATCCTTTGGTTTGTATACTAACATATGTATATACGATCATATGATATATAACATATAGAAAATATCTCCATCGTTCGACTATATCCACAACAAAACAAAATGGAAAAAGTATGCCAAAAGAAGTGCAGCTTAAAGTTGTGGATTAAGGCATACCTTGCCACGACAAACAGCAAAAAATACTGCCCCAGAAGTCGACTTGTCCTTCAGTTTCGACATATATTCCTACCAAGAAAAACAAATCAGGGAGATAATTAGAAGAGTCCGAAGATGGTAATGCATTGATATTAATAGAAAGTCAATTGAACTTGCTTCCTCACATACCCCACTTGATGAAGCAAAGAGAGAAGACTGTCTAGGTTCAATTACAGGCTTCTTATGTTTGCAGATTCTCTCCCATATTGTAGTTAAATTTCCATGACTCTGAAAGAACAGAAAACCTTTTTATGGAGACAGAACCAGAAGAAAAAAGGTAACTTCTTTACAAGTTAGTGTTCTGATGCCTCACCACATTCTTCCAACACCTAATGCACTGGTCCAACAGGTAGTAGGATGGAAAGAATACCAGAAGCCCATCCGGTATTATTCTAGCAAAATTAACTGGAAAGATTTCAGGAAATGTGGCATCTTGTGAAATAATCATCAGTAATCATAAGGCACTGATTTGAAGATCCCATATTTTCTCCAAACTAAAACTCATTATTGTGTTCCTAAGCTTGATGATTGAAACAATGAACCTCTTTCTTAGAAGACTGTAGACAGCCTAGCTTTTGAGAAAAAACTGCATCAGCTTTGGATAACAAGGGCACAAAGGTCCACGTGATACAAACTAATTTAAATTCTTTTCATTCTTTTCTAAATCCCTAGAGTCAAAGGAACTAGAATATTTAACTAAAGCTATTTAAAACTTCATCTTTGCAACTCAGTTTTGACAAAGGGAAGTGAGTAGTAAATGAGAAACAGCTTTCAAAAAGGCCCAGTTGCCTTGGTTGACTCAAAAAATCAGGCCAAGATCAGTGGCCCAAAAATTAATGGCCATACAATCAGCTCATCAAACTGAACCCGATTCATAATTATCCTACATACCAATAGCATTTCCAAGCTCTTGTTTGTATTCCAAAGAATCACGATTCCGGTAGGAAGAATTGAAAGCGCAGCCTGATGGACCAACTGGCACAACTCCAGCCCATATCTGATTTGATGATATAACGTGGGGGTTTTCCAGCCGTATAGGAAAATCTCTGAGATGATCAGTTTAGAAGTCTCCATTTAGCAATTAAGAAAGGTATACCCTAATAAAAATAAGAAAAGAGCAAAAATTTGACTCACATTTTTAGTTCTTGTGCAAAATAATCCATCGGAGATAGCGTTCCTGATGTCACTATTATAGAGCCAACACCCATCCTCGAGAATTCTTGCATAGCAATTCCTGGATTAAAACACCACCAGCTAAGTGTTCTCGATGGCTTACCTGTACAATGTAGACAGGATATGTGAAATAATCACTATTATAGTTAAGAATACTGAACCTAGCATTAGAGAACTCCATCAGCAATTATCAAGTAAGCAAACATGTGATAACAAAATTTTATATGTCAACTCTCCAACACAAAACAAGAAAAGATGAAAATCTAATCTGCAACATCAGCAAAACTTTATGTTACCTCTCAAGACATCGGCAGCATTTGCCTCAATTTCTTGTACATGGACCTAATAAGACAGGAAAGAATTCAGTACAGAAACCTAACCATCACAAAAAAAATATATACATACAAAGATCAGTAAATTGGAAGGAGAAAACAATTTCATTGGAAATATATTTTCCACTCCAATTCACTTGATTCTATTAAGAAAATTCAATAAGCTCCAATCTTACACGGTAGAACTCAGCATGCCCATTGCCTTTATCCTTAAAAATTATTTTTAAAATGTCCCCAATATTTTCAAGTCTGCTTGTGGTGCTTTCCATCTTTTGCATCTTATCTTCCTCGAGAACCACCATAGCTTCCTCAATTATATCAATAAGTTTTGGAGCAGTTTCATGCGTTATGTTGAGCTCAGCAAGTAATTCATATATGTAAGGCCCAGGCCTTGTAAATCCTAATTCCTTCGATTCAACTGACACTTCAGCAATCCGTTTCTCTAGCTTCAGAAGAAGTGCTGCAGGATAAGCACAAATCAGTTCCAAAGAAAGAACATACAAAAACAATTAACTTCAATTCAGCCACTAGAATATAACAGGAAGCAACCAAGATATCAAAAACTCTACAAACCACAAAACTAAAGATACAAGCACGATAACTCTTCAGCTCATTGTCTTCAGTATTTTTGAACGAGAGTCATGATCAACCGACCTGAATCCTCAACCCAATAGGGACATTTAGAGTTGGGTCATTCTATAAATATTTGGCAAAAGAATGACTCATTGAAGAACAAGTTCCCTTTACAGCAAATTTGGAAAGTGAATGCTCCAGCCAGAATTGCTTTTTTAGCTTGAATAAGGGTAACACTCGCATATTGTAATTAATTAAAAACTAAAAAAATTGATGAAAGTGTATAAAAAGTTTTTAATTCTTATAAATTAATGCACAAATTAAATTATTTTAATTTCTTGGACTCGTTACAGTGGAAAATGGATATGCAAAAACACGAGAAAATTTAAAACCCTAAAAATAATAAAAATGGGATTAGGCCCCAAAATGAAAAAAAAAAAAAAAGAGAAAATGGAGGAAATTCTATATTCTGGGAACCTGGGACACCTCAGCGCGTGAGTTGTTCACAGACAAACCAGAATCTGCTACATGGACAGCCATGCATGCGGACATAAATGAAAGAGACTGAATGAACAGTCAGGATGTAGACACTTAAACCAAAGATACCGATCAAACAGCCAGGAAACAATTGCCCAGCGTAGTGAGACGCGAATGGACGATCACGATCACACAAGGGGAAGATTGGAAGGCCTAAAATCGTGCAGACAAAAGCAGAAATACAGGAAACCAACGGCCCAGATCACGTGTGGAATGGGATCCAATGGTTGTGATTTAAAACAGAGGCAAAAAGCCAATTTTGCTACTTGATTATTCCGCATCCAACAATCACAAGCCACTGCATGGGAATGGAAGGCTGTGATTAATCCCTTCCCCCGTATAAAAGCTTTGTCTTCTTCTTTCGTCGAGCAAAAGAAAGCCGGATGGAAGAGAGAACTTGCGGAGCAAGAGAGAGAAGGGCATCAAGAGAGAGTGTTTCCGAGAGAGAGAGGAGAAGAGTCGAGTGAGAATGAAATAAAAGCCGAGAGAAAGTGAGGGCAAACTCTGGGAGCCGGAGAAGAAGAGGGAAGCAAGGGAAAGGAAGAAGAGAGGTTAATCCGAGACACTTCTCCAGGTCACAAAGACTCCGAGACTGAGCTGAAAGAGGTAAATTCCTCCTTTCACTGTTCTCTTTCAATCCTTATTAGCCATTAATACATGCATGCATGACCTTTCGGAAGAAGGAAAAAACGACTTAGCTGGTGTGAGCTAAGAGGAAGTGCCAAAACACCAGAACTCGATACTGAAGGGTAAGCTATTCGAACTTGAACTTTCATAAACATATTTGGCTTCGTTTAAAATCAGCTTAGGTGGATTAAACGAACATTTGTGTCGTTTAGATATCCTAGAAATATAATAAAACAGTAAATCACTAAAAATGAGAAAAGATTTAACCAAAGAAAACCTAAAAGGCTCGGGTACCAACAGCTAACCATGCTGATATCCTTCATGTTCAGGGATTTAAAAGTTGTTTGAAGAGGGCTTAAACAGTGAGAATTCACTGGAAAAATGAAAGCAAAACCAAGTGTAAGTGAGTCATCTGTATCGAGGCCTTAAAACGATTTTTTTTTAAACTCCACTAACATTCTCGGTGCTATTTGAATAAGTATGTGCAGAAGAAGAAAAGAACGAACGAGAAAGGGGTTTTGGGCACAATCCTTGTGGTTCAAACTGTCGAAATATGTGTTTGGGTATGACGTCCCGATGCCCACGGGGCAACGTCCAATATAGAGCAGATAAAATTGCATTTAAAATAAACACAGAATATATTACATCCCTTATAAAAATACAAATAGTGTATACTGAGGCCTTAAGATTAACCATTTATAACCATTTATAATTACAATTACTGTACTAGTTAACCTACAAAACACAAAATAACTGGCTTCACAAAGTATCACTCTCTTCACAACACTCCTACTAGTCTCAGAATGGATCTAGGCATGGCTCTGGAGGCAAACCTGTTTCATCATCTGGGGAATGAATGGATTGGGGCGAGTTCCAAATAACTCAGTAAGAACAGCAGTATTATATCAATGCAGACAACGTTTTAAAGGTTTATTAATGCAGTTAGTGAAAAGCATATTGTTATCACTTTGAAGCAATATGTTAATTTCATAAACTACTGAAAATTTCATAGTAAAATTTTCATTCAATTTCATTGTTTATAGAATTCCCCTTCTTAGCCTTTTCTTACAGTTAACATATCAATCTAATCAGTCCAGTACAATAGCAATCAATTCCATGCAATACCATACAAGTTCAGTGCAGTAGCAATCATTCAATACAATACCCTACTAATCAGACACTCTTTGAAGTCTTATTATCAGTTATTATCGTAATTTAGGGTTCACTGTTTACAAACTGTCATACGAAAACCAAATCTTTTAAATCTTTATGGTTTATAAATCACTTTACCACTACCCTTCTTGTCTTAGGTTTTAACTCCTACTCATATTTTTCATCTCTTTAACCTTTTCCTTATTTACCAATTCTTGTTTTAACACATAATATCATCTAAAAGAATGCATTAAGTCCATTAGCCTAGTTGTTAATTGATAATAACTTATGCTTTATGAATGAACTGATGGATGATTGGCGTTTTGAAATGCTTTACAAAAGAGAAAATCAATCAAAATTACTAGGAAAGCGTCGGGAAAGGCCATTTGTCTCCGCCCGAGATTGCCAAGCGCCAAAGCGCCAAGAAAAATTGGCAGACACAACTATGCCATGCACGATGCACGTGCAGGATGTTGTATGGGTGCCCATTAGCGCTAGAACAGGGTCCGTCCCCTAACACGCTGCGGAATGTGAAGAGAGCTCTGCCAGGCATCCAGGGGTCCAGGCGTCGAGAGAGCTGGAGGCAGGAATTGCCATGCCGCGTGAGAGTGCGTGCAAACACGTGCGGGGTTCTATCTGGGTGCTTGAAAGTGCCTAGACAGAGTTCCTTGGGCATACTACATACGCGCAAATTGCCATTGAGTGCTGGGAGGCTTTGCCAAGCGCTAGGTGTCGAGAGGGCCAAGAAAGAGGCACTGTCTGTGCCATGCAAGTGTGCGGAAAAAATCCCCCATCCGCGGGCTGCACTCCAGCAACCCTACGGGCAGAAACAAATGGATTAAAAATAAATGAAATTAAAATTAATGAATTTGATTGGGCAAAGAAAACGTTTTAAACAAATGGATTAAAAGTAAATGAAATTAAAATTAATGAATTTAATTGGGCTAAGAAAGTGTTTCCAATAAAGGGATTAAAATAATTGAACTTGAATTGGTTTGAGAAAGTATTTTAAACAAAGGGATTTTCATTGATATTAAAAGTGATTTCAAAATTGTGTCTGATAAGAAAGGGATGGATTAAAAATGAAACG